GGAAAGAGTTGTGCACCCAAGTTTTCACCACCTATCCTAGAAAGCCATATGCCTGAGATGTACTAAGCCTTGGAATCAGGTATCAAATGTTGAGCAGTATGGCATTCATCTAAATGCAAATGCAGCACCAGAGATAAGCAAGCATTACACATGATTAAGCTCCATGCCAAGTAGGAAGGGGTGGGGTGGGGTGTGGAGGTAGAGCAGTTAGGGCATCTTGCTATGATTTCAAGGGTATGCAGTCAAGCCTTGCTTTAGGCTCATGCCAAAGGCTGTCACAAATTAAACCAGTTGTAAATTGGTACCTTGGATGTCAGATAGCTTGGGAGCTCTGGAGTCAAAGGCAGCTGGGTATGGTAGTAGCAATATCAGTCCCCTATGTTCAGGTGGCTACAGAAGCTGGTGTGTTGTAACCACACTTGATAATTGAACTGTTAGGCTCATGTAGACCTAAGCGATGAGGATGCATTTGACTTTTGGTGTCTATTATTATGTTTACAATTGACCAACAAAATCTTGGCTGTATTGAAGTGGAGGTAGAAAACACTTTCCTCTTCACAATAGAAGACAGATCCTCAGGCTGATTAAAATTGTTGTGACATTGATCCATGGAGCTATGGCTATTTACACACTCTGAGGATCTGACTCATACATTTTGGTATGAGATTTTCAATAGAGGTGCACCTAAATACCCAATACCCCAGGCTTCCATGACTTAGAAGCATAACTTCGTCTGAGATTTTTGTTTTAACTCACTTAAGCATAATGAAGATCCTACCCTCATCACATATTTCCCTCAGCAATTATGTAGCACAACTACAGGGCTTTTCTTTCAAAATTTCAAAGTACTTTAAAAAGAAGTGTCATTGTTTTTTTATAGCTAGGAAAATGGAGACAAAGAGTTAAGAAGAGTTTTCAGGCCAGAAAGATGATCTCTAAACTTCAGACCACTATCTTTAACATGGCAATACTACCATTACTGATAAAAAATACATTAGAGCTATGTGAGTTCTTATACTAACTAGATGATAAAATGCATCAAACTTATGATGAAAAAAGAGGTTCCTATAGATTCATAGATTCATAGATGTTAGGGTCAGAAGGGACCTCAATAGGTCATCGAGTCCGACCCCCTGCATAGGCAGGAAAGAGCGCTGGGTCTAGATGACCCCAGCTAGATGCTTATCTAACCTCCTCTTGAAGACCCCCAGGGTAGGGGAGAGCACCACCTCCCTTGGGAGCCCGTTCCAGACCTTGGCCACTCTAACTGTGAAGAAGTTCTTCCTAATGTCCAATCTAAATCTGCTCTCTGCTAGCTTGTGGCCATTATTTCTTGTAACCCCTGGGGGCGCCTTGGTGAATAAATACTCACCAATTCCCTTCTGTGCCCCCGTGATGAACTTATAGTCAGCCACAAGGTCGCCTCTCAACCTTCTCTTGCAGAGGCTGAAAAGGTCCAGGTTCTCTAGTCTCTCCTCGTAGGGCTTGGTCTGCAGGCCCTTAACCATACGAGTGGCCCTTCTCTGGACCCTCTCCAGGTTATTCGCATCCCTCTTGAATTGCGGCGCCCAGAATTGCACGCAGTACTCCAACTGCGGTCTGACCAGCGCCCGATAGAGGGGAAGTATCACCTCCTTGGACCTATTTGTCATGCATCTGCTGATGCACGATAAAGTGCCATTGGCTTTTCTGATGGCTTCGTCACACTGCTGACTCATGTTCATCTTAGAGTCCACTAGGTCTCCAAGATCCCTTTCCACTTCCGTGCCACCCAGCAGGTCATTCCCTAGGCTGTAGGTGTGCTGGACATTTTTCCTCCCTAGGTGCAGCACTTTGCATTTCTCCTTGTTGAACTGCATTCTGGAAGGAAGGAAGGCTCCTTCCCTGCTGTCCTCTAACGGGGCCTGCACAGCTCAGCGTGTGTGACCCGGAGTGGCAGGGAAGAATGGGGCCATGTAGGGATCTCCTTGCCTCTGCGCACTGCCCTGGCCATGTGTCTTCCATGTATGGGGACAGTAAGAGACAGTATGGGGTGGGATACCGTATCGAAGGCCTTCCTGAAGTCTAAGTATACGACATCCACCCCTCCTCCTGTGTCCAGGCGTTTCGTAACCTGGTCATAAAAAGAGACTAGATTGGTCAGGCACGATCTGCCTGCCACGAACCCGTGCTGGTTTCCCCTCAGCATAATTTTTCCTGCCGGGCTCTCGCAAATGTGAGCCTTGATAATTTTTTCAAAGACTTTGCCAAGGATGGAGGTGAGACTGACTGGCCTATAGTTGCCCGGGTCCTCCTTCCTCCCCTTCTTGAAAATGGGGACCACATTGGCCCTTTTCCAGTCCTCCGGGACTTGGCCCGTGCGCCATGAGCGTTCAAATATTCCCGCCAGTGGCTCTGCAATGATGTCGGCCAGTGCCTTCAGCACCCTCAGATGGAGCTCATCTAGGCCTGCCGACTTAAAGGCATCCAGTTCTTCCAAGTGACTCTGCACCATCTCAGGGTCTACGCATGGCAGTCTGGCGCCTTGCTGCTGCCTCTCTACAATCCCAGTGAGAGACTTGTCGTGCCCCTCGCTTAGGAACACTGAGGCAAAGAACTCGTTGAGGAGCTCAGCCTTGTCCCCCCCTGTCTGTCACCAATTGTTTCTGCCCATTTAGCAGAATCTATGTACCTATTCAGAGAATGAAAAGTGGTTATTCCTTTACCTGGACTCCCCGATTCATACAAAGGACAAAAGACATCTGATCTGTACAAGGAACGCTGGCAGCAAGGAAAGGAATTTCACAAAATAAAAATATCTGATAATTACAGCTGGGAAATAAATACACATGGGATTTGGTCCTTACTGAGGATTTCACTTGGTTGATCACTGATGAGACAGTTAGTAATGTTGGTGGGGGGGTTGGAACTAAAATCCAAAATTTCTAAAATGAGAATCAAAAAAAAATTGTGAAATGTCAGAGGGATCTGATCCTGGTTATCATGTATAATTAGTTGTTCTGAATTTAACGAGGCCAATTTAATTTCAAGTGTTTATATCACGGGGGGGGACATCTAAATGAGATGCTATTGCGCAATGGTTACTTTGCATTTATTTAGTACTTGTACAAGCAAGTACTAAATACATACACAGTAACTGGAGTTACTATGTAATAGCACCGGTGAACACCTTTTAAGTGATGCTACTGCTAAGTAGCATCTCAGCACTGTTTTTGCCACATGACACTACTGTGCAGTATTATCAGGCTGCTGTGCAGTCAGAGTCTCATATATACGTGTGCAGGATGTTTTAATTTAGAAGTAACATTTTCAAAGGAGCAACTGACTTTTCAAACCTTATCATTAACTTTATCTAACATGTAGGCCCCTAAGAGCCTACCTCACTTTTGTCATAGATTTATAACTTTTAAGGTGAGAAGAGAGCAGTCTAGAAACAGACATTGCATTTGACCTGTGACAACCTGTGCCTGTTTTTGTCCCAGAAAAGAAAAATTCCAAAATTGGCATGTACGTGCATCACCCTTCTGATCAGGGTTAGTGAGCATCTGAATGCACTGCCACTTTTCTGCCACTGATTCAGTGATGGGACAACATAACAGATGCACTTCACAATGTCCTAGAACAACCTGTTAGCACTTCTC